TCCAACAGTGGTCTTTCTGCTCGAAAAATTGCAGGGTTGTTAGAACTTAAATAAAGAACCGTACAGAATGTTTTGAAGGGATTCCGTGACAGGGAAAGTGTCGAAAATTTACCAAGAAGTGGGCGGCCCAGAAAATCGTCTGACAGGTCTGATCGTAGTGCTCGAAATGTGCGTTTATCGGCTATGTGTTGGGGATGTGTTTCCTATTTTGGGGTCGGAACACTAACATCTGTTGATGAAAATATAAACACTGATGAACATTTATGGCCTGTTGTCGCGAGACATTTTGCAATTACACCCTGGATTTTACAAGAAGATAATGCCCCGTGTCATGTCTCAAAGAGAGCTAACGAGTGGAAAACTATAAATTATTTTCAGAACTTTCCCATGGCCATCCCAAAGTCCAGATCTCAATGTGATTGAAAATGTTTGGAAAACAATAAAAACCCGTCTTTCGAAACGTTTGGGAGGGGTTCAAAACAAAGCAGATCTGATCAGAATTGTGAACGATATATGGTCCAGTTTGCCTTTGTGCTATAGTAGGAACCTTTATAATTCACTACCAAAGAGATTACGATGTGTAATTAGAGCTAGAGGACGGATAACAAAGTACTGAACATTTCATGTAAGTACCTTCTTTATTTATTGAGACATTCCACTTTTAAATATGCCCTCCCTCATAAGATATTAGCGTAAACAAATATGACGTCGCCGATATGCGCCAATACTCATGGCCAGTGGTTGATATGTCTCATAGGCCAAGTAAAAGGTTATGTTGAAACAGACATTTATGATACCCTTGATAGATGCAACTACTTTTTTTTTACTGGTTTGAGGTATTCTATTATCATCTATATAATACTTTATAAATCTACCGGTAGCATGATCAATTTATTGCCATGGGTTGTAAGTATGAGAACACGCGAGAAGACTTTGAGAACGAATTGAATAACCTGAGAAGGTGTTTTCTTATTTACATTCACTAAGACATATCTCACTGCTCCAGTAACCATTCCATTGACACATCAAGGAAGAATTTTCCGTATTGCTTAATAGAATCATACTACCAAGTGGTATATTTGGCGTATTGTATTAACCCTATATGCATATAAGTGTAATAACGGCCATTTTAAACTATTATTTTCCTACTAGTTTTCTTGGTAAAATAATTCCGTATAACTGATTGATTACAATTGTTTACAAAAATCCTCAAACAGAACATAATGCCACTTACACGCAGTTTGTAGTTTGTTCGATTCTAATTAAACCGACTCTGTAACGTACCATCTTCGATTTTAAAGAATAATTTCTAAGCTAAATAACTGTGGAAATGTCCATCTGTGTATTAAGAAGAAAGCAAATAAAAGCTACAGTGTCACATTTATGATTTATACACTATGGTTTGAAGTTCTAGTTTTAGACGAATGTTTATGAATAAGATAATGTGAATCAGTGAGTAACGTAGAATTATAAAGGTGAAGAATTGGAAATGAATGTCACACAGCACCTCTTTTCTCGAGAAAAGTACATAGAGACGTATTTTATTCTTGAACCACTCAGACAAATCAATCATTGGGTAATAAAGTCTTACTATTAACGGCGAAAGATAGAGACAGTTGTAATTTTTGTCTTACAGGTGGTAAGCACTCTTTAAGATGACCATTTCCTTGAACACTAATTTCCTATTAGTAGATAATTGTTCAATTATCAGGAGGTACACATACTCATCATTTCTTTACAAGTGCAGTAAACTGGAATCCTTCAGTCAATTGGAATGTAAACAAAACGTTTTGATACGTCCGGGTTTTTTTGGTTTTATGCGTAAGACAAGTCTTTCGCTGATGATAATATAAAATATATAATCCACGGTTTCTGTTTTATTGTCTATTTATAGCCTAGTTCTTAACCATATAATTCGTCCTGTTGTTCAATATCCTTCCACTATTATAGAACATATCTTGATCATATTCTTGCAAAATAGAATGATCAGGTCATTTAAGATTAGCTTACCCTCATGAATTCGTATTTTCTATAATGATCATTGATATCTGTAATGAAATCAAGCAATTTTCTTCAAAACAAAATATGCATCTGGCAACATCAGCAATTTTATGATACCCCTATTTTAACTTATAATTTATAACGTATGCATCAAAATAAATAGTGAAGTTCCAATATCCTAGAAATGTTTACGACATACATTCAATACCAAAACCAAAAGTATTAATTCTTAATCGCAACATTTGCAACGGTTTTTTAAAGCTTCCGGTAACATTTGGTAACAAAACTTTTTAATGAATAATTCTTTTTCGATCATATACCGTCTAAGCTATCATAAAAATACCTTTCAATTCCAGATAGTCTGTTCTGACAACTCCAAAGTGCTAAAGATGTACCCCCTGAGAAGTTTTTAAAACTTCCGTATTAAACGTTTTTTCTTACGGTATATGCATTTTCGGAAAAGGGAGTTCCTGGCATGAAAGAATATGCAAACAAAAATGTATGTCCGTGTGTTTGTTTTCGTGCTATGATCGGCTAAAAATACCAATTTAACATAATATGACATTTTTGGTGATATTTTGTTTTTGTTTTGACCGTATACAGCACAAATTCATACCATACCTTTCAGGTGTGCCATCAGAAATGTAGTAATGTTTGTACATTTGATAAAGATAGTATATGCTTCTTGATTATGGAAGAAAAACTTCTATAACTTATTCTTTCATCTCAGAGGAGCGATTTAGGTTTCCCCTACACCTTATTTTTAATGACAAAATACTATTTTTTCCCATTTTAGCAGATGTAATGCTAGATATAAACTTCCTTTTTTATATTTTCAATGGTTCAAAGAAAAGTTTGTTTCTCTTTCTAAAACAGACCCAAAAAAATCGGGGCCCATTGTGCTTCTTTTTTTAGTCATTTAATCTTAAGTGTTATTTTCAACTGCTGCGGGGTCAAAAATAAACTACATTTGTAGATTCAGTTACACTAGATATGTTATACATTATCAATAAAGGATAATGTTCCACTTTGTTGCTTATTATTTCAACAATATTGAACTAAATGAACTTGTACAGCCAAAATGTTTATTCCATCAATTAATAATGGCAGTATAAAGACAAACTTGGTGATTAATCTTGTGTCACAAAAGTTAAATTTTGGCATTGCGGGGTGCGCACATTTTCAAATTGCCGCCGAATCGGTCATTTTTAAAGATATTTTGTAAAAAAAAAGTCTGCAGCAAGAGGCATCTAGTGATTTTACAAATTTGTCAGATGCATGTTTGCTTTTATAACTTGTTAAATGATATATAAGCCCGTTACATTGTATCAAAACGAGATTTTGACTTAATTTAAATCTCCGAATAGTACATTCTTACAGGAAGCAATACGTTGTACCCCTGCTTAGTAATTACGGGCTTCAGGCGTAGGTAGCAAATATTTCCTATCCGAAATGTATGTTCAACAAGCAGGAACTGTGAGAAATGTAGAAAATTGTCTTGAGTACGTTAAATGAGAAACTCCCAACTGGAGAAGATTATTCCTTTCCTTTGATATTGAAATAATATATTAATAACTTATTTTACGTCATATCTAAGTGCAATTATTTTTGACGTTTCAATTTAAGAAATGCAACACACAATATATTACTGTAAAATGTAGTCATTTCCAAGTTATTCACTAAACATCAATTTAAAGCAAATATACTTAACCAGTCCATCATTTGTGAAGATACCCCCAACACAGACATTTGTGCTTTGTAGAGAGCACATTGTCGTTGATCAGTAAAATTAATAAAACAAGATAGAGCGATTAAAAATAAACAAATTTACTAAGCACCAACACATTTAACGAGGACTGAGTTTTGACATTCACATAGTGAGGATAAAGAGACCCTTTAAATTGTAAACATAGGTGATTAAGAATATATTCCATTCTCACAGACAAAATATTTCGCAGCGTCAATACCAACACACAAAATGTACAGCAACTTTAATACACGTATACAAAACATACCACAGCGTCGATACACACACGAAATATACCACAGCGTCAATACCAACACAACAAATATACCACAGCGTCGAAACAAACAAACAAAATATTCCGCAGCGTCAATGTCAACACACAAAATATACAGCAGCGTCAATACACACACGAAATATACCACAGTGTCAATACACACACGAAATATACCACAGCGTCGATACACACACGAAATATACCACAGCGTCAATACCTACACACAAAATATACCACCGCGTCGATACACACTAACAAAATACACTGCAGTGTCAATAAAAAATAAATAGATATAGCACTGCGTCGATACACACATACAAAATATACCACACCGTCATTACCAACACCATTTATCACAGCGTCAATATACACTCATGACATTTGGACTCGGAACGTAAAGACAGGAACAGATACTGAGTTACTTTCAGCCTATAAGGAAAACAATAATGCATCCCTTTAAAACCGGAGACAAAATCAGAAAGTAATCGTTTCCTGTATTACATTTACATGTATCACCGTCAACGAGTTGATAATCAGTCAATTGAAAATATAGACAATATATATTACAATCTTTACTGGTTTGTTTTGTAAGTATTACCAATGACAGCAGTCGTCATGTATTGGCCATAAACACAAAAGCGACATACTCATGTATATCATAAATTAAACTGATCGCTTGTATCCCTCAGCAACGAAAAAGAATCTTATCATTTGTATTTGTAAGGGGAGATAAACACGTATATGAATACATGCTGTCAGAATATATAGTGGCCAATGGTACTGCACTGATCACGATGTGACATATCAAAGTAATGGTGCTTTAAAATGGCAATATCAACAATGGATTATCTTGTCGTCTGAAATATGTAACCGTTTATATTACAAAGACGTTCAACTCTAAATACAAAGAATATATATATAAATGTGTTCTAACTTTTATAAAATAAAAACTTGACATTTAGATCAAATTGTTTTCAGGACAAACTGCAATACACATATGTGTACATGAATAACAAAGACGAAGATGCCTTCACACGGACTTATATTCGTATTTGTTGTATTGATTATAGGTGAGTAATAATATATATTATGCATAAAATATTCTTGAATTATAACACCGTGTTATCTTTGCACTGAATGAGAGAGATTGGACAGACTGCAACGAAAAATCATCTTTTACTGCTAAGCTCCAAAGTATTATGAAAAATTGTCTGCTGACATCGTTCGTTAGGGTGTATCTCTGAGTGCCAACATTGTTAATTTCCCTGTAAGGCAACTTGTTTTGAAGGGAATTATAGTCCTTTTTCTTAAAAAGTGTCTAAGATCTGAACCAAATATAGCAAAATTTGTCTGAGGAGGTGTGTTGTATGAAACAAAGGTATATTACAGGTATTCACAAGTGAAATGCAGAATTTATGGAACAGTATATAATTGACTTCCCATTATTTTATAAAATGTTGGCACTCAGAAAACACCCCCTTTGTTTATACTTTTATGCTTGCAAGAATGTAGAGGTTGTATTTATCAATCTCAAAACCCCTGGTTCGTAAGGTGACATACTATCATCATAAGATGGCTTAACCTATTTTAACGTTTCGATAACAATAGTTATATTGTGATTTTTATCATCGGCCATTGTTTAAAACAGATATAAGGATTATCACAATTTATTTATTTAAATGTTTTTACCTACTAGGTCTCATTGTATATACGTCCATATCAGTAAGCTATCAGGTTCACTATTTTCATGGAATGTTTCGTATACATTGTACTCAAATGTTTACTTTTATTTATTTTATCAATACGCATATTTAAGTATATAAATATCAGTTTGACTGTATTATTAATTTCAGTTTACTTGTATATTTACCTAGGTATGATCATTATTCATATTTAAGATATACCTGCATTAGTTATATATGTACATGAATATAATTGTAATTTTAAACATATAATTGTATATTTTTCGTATTTGTTTCATGCGCTACAAATGAACTTCTCAATATTTGATATCATTGTGCACATATTTTAAAAGTTCGTTTTGATGTGAAAGATGAAAATAAGTAGCTTTTCACGTCATTCATTTTCAGATTCGGTCCACTTACAGATGTTTCCTCCTAAATTTCCCCCAAATGTCTTCAAAATCATGCCTGAGGACTACGCAAACGGTATTTGTTAGAATATTTAACCTGACATTAAATATTAAAAGCGTTTGATTGCAAAGCATTCCAACAATGGGATGTTTGATCATATATGTACAACTTTAAACAAACAACCCCATGCTTCTGTTGTGAACCTATCCGTAATTAAGTAAGCAGTAACAGATAATAAAACTATATATATATAATTTTCATGACAAGGGATACATCTACGTTACAGCGATCTTTGTCTCACGTTTGTTGTTGTCCCAATTAATACATTAATAATATATATTACAGGTTCCCTGATCAAATCTTTTAATGTCACCGACCAAGATAGTGCCAGCATAACGCTGGGGATATTTGATGATTTTACACGACAAAGCGTTTACCTTAACCAGACCAATATTGTTAGGTCCAGAAGTTCCTGGGTCGTGACAGGCCATATATACCTCATCAATCCTGACAGTTTCGATTTCGACAGGGTAAGATATTTTCAAAACTATCAACAATATTAATATCATATAATATTCATGAAATTTCTGCATTCGTTTTTTAAACGAAAGCAATGTGTTTTTTCTCTGTTTCCACGAAGTATATTTATTGTCACTGTTAGGAAGTGAACTCCTTAAACATGTAGTATGCATGTCTGTATCATCTGTTTTCGAATTTGTACTAGATTTAATCGTTTTTCACTTTCACCCCGCAATCGTGTTTGGCAATAATATAAATTGCATTAAAAATCACAACAACGAATTACGAAAAGAGAGCAAGAGCTCAAAAAATACTAAAATAAACAAAAATGCATCATAAACTCACACGAAAACGGCGGCGAAATCAGATGTTTAAATATGGGTTTACCTTTAAGTTATAATATCTCTGAATACATTATATGTTACACCCATATGTTTTGCAAATACAAAACCAATAGTGTGTCATAAAATATTGAGTATCTAGTAACAACAATGTACATTTATATATAAACCGGTCGGTATTAGTGTAAGAAACATATATAGTTGCAAAATATCGATCTGTGTTGCTCTTTTTTTAAATTGACCTAAATCTACACACATTTCTCGTATTCCAATTCAACTCGATTTCAGTCGCAATATTTATCAAAATAATTATAGATTTACATTTTGCTTGAACAAGAGTAGCTGATATGTTGTCAATGAATACTTTTTCAATAATACACACGTAGTGATTTGCACTCATTATTAAATGTATCTTTAGATAAAAAATTAAAAAAAAACACTGTCTGAATGTATAAACAATTCTAGTGATTTTAGAAGAGTAATAAGCATACAGTCAGATTTAGATTAATATCAATAAGAAAAATATTATACTGTTTTGAGGTCAAACGAATCATACAAATCTTAAACAAATAAGTATTGAGTCATGTCAGGGACAGGAGCACATACATGTACAGCCGTGTATCTCTATCTGAGTACGACTGGGTTGTTATATAGTGTACTCTTAAAGTTTTTCGCTCTATATACTTCATCAAAAAAGTATATATTATTTTTTATGTTGTAATATTAGATTTTTTATAGTTAATACATTCCTGCGGCTATATGAAATTTTGCATCATAGTATATGATGTTATTTCTAGGTTTATTCCTCTGCTAACAGATAATAAAAAACACCGTTAACAAAAATGTTTGTGAGGTAATTTCTTAGCAACGGGAAATACACTGATAAAAGTAGGCAAAGCTATGACACTTTAAGTGAGCTAAATGACTATGCACTCCTCAGATTATAGAGATTCAAGTCAATGCTGTGACAAAGTCATGCTAAATAAACTTTAATAATGTTGATGCTTTAATGTATTTGGAATATAAAGACATAATATATAATCCGTCCTTAATTTCTTTATATCTCTTTCGAAAAGTTTGGTTTTAAGTTGTTGCTTTTCTTCAATAAAGCAATTTCACGATCATGCTAACATACATTTCTAATAGTTTTTCTTTTTTTGAAACTTTTTCAGGGTAATAGAGAAGTGAAGCTGGCATTCACAGCATCTGATGGAGACGGCAACACGGTAATACACGCCAAACAACTTTCCTCGTAATGTATTTAGCGGACACCCAATGAGTGGTTATTTATCATGATTTTTATCCATTCAAATACTAACCGAACGTTCTAAACGCCAACATATAAACATATGGACACATGAATAGCGTAAAAGTTTTAGCGATAGGCAATGATCACATTCTAAATTGATCCTCAATACAAACCACTAGATATAGTATGTTAAAGTTTGTACAAAAGTAAGTTATTGGTAAGATCATATATTCTTGATTTACAATGATTCTTTAGTTTTCAAGAAAGAATCATAAAACAAAAATGTTAAATATATCAAATATCAGTTGCCAGTCGGAACATCCCTTGTGTGATTATATGTATCTCACAGGACCTTTAAGTTTTCTTCTCTTATCTAACTGGGATGATATCTGACACCAAGAAAACACTGTTTAACGAATAATTATGTGTATACAAAATATTCTTTTTAATGAACACGATACTGGTTTTATGACAGGTGACAGGGTTTGTACAAGTGTACGTGACTGATGTGAATGACAACCCGCCCGTTTTCAGACGGCCAGCATACGTCTACGACATACCTGAGGTAAGATGGGTGCTGCTAAACAAGTCATATACCAAGTAACCTACGTACTGGCGTATATACATACTGAGCGGCAAAACTTACTCTAAATGTCATTTCTTTTATAAACATAATGTTTAATACAAGTCAAACATTACTGTTAAATATTGATATAAGGTGCAGTATATCTATCGACCTTCAAATTTTGATAATAAAAAGACAACATTTAAAGGGGCTGGTCGGGGGAAAAAATACAAAATAAATGAGTCTAAATGCGTTCTCTGGCCTTCCAAAAGTTATGCCACGGCAATATGATGGTCGAGTTCTGCTTGCAATGTCCAGTTTTGACCACTAAAATCTCGGGGGAAGCCCTGCATAAATTTAGCGCAGATCTATTTATATATGTCACGTGGTTGTTTCGAAAGTGAGGCAGCGAAGATAACAACAATAGCACGCCGCCCTGTGCCATGTCGGACTCAACTAGCGGACAAGACAGCAATACTATACGTAAATAATTGTTTTCAAAGGTCATGTATGATGCAAGTGTAGTATTCCTACCTATATGTTGTTGTTACATATAACGGTATTGATACCTCGTGCCTGTCATGACTTTTGCATGCATCTTTTTCTTTCGCCGCGATGTTTACATTTGGCCTTGTTGATGACGCACGCACGGTAAAATGAGAGTTTTAGACAGTCAGGAGACTATTTAGGATTTCTTTAACATAATTTTAATTTTTACTCTAAGGGAGTGAATTTCAGCAAAATTTGAATCGGTATATTTCATAAGAAGGTATTTTAAACATGTGTATGCCATTTTAGCAAATATGACATCTTTTCCCCGACCAGCCCTTTTAACGTTTGAGAAAGAAGGGGTCAAATTTTATCTTAGATTCAATCACATCACAATAATATAAAACAGTTAATTTTCTAGCATTACATTTACCCTGCTATTTTTTAAAATTCAGACCTCCCTGGGCATTGTCAGCTATACGGATATTAATTAACTCTCCTCTGAGAAACAACGATTTCCCACTATAACATTCAATATAAAACCATTCGTTTCTATTTGGGTTTTTTATGGAGAAAGAAATGGTCGTCTTTATTTTAATTCTTTTTCTTCCGGATTATTTGGTCCAACCGTATTTTTGTGGTATCTGCTGTCGTCTGGAAACGATGTCGCATGTGGGAGTGAAAATGTAACGATCGGTATTACACGTAGTAACGCGTTGGCGTCAGGAACGGGAGTCTGTAACATGTATCTGTTTTTCAAATCGAAAACAAGTCACACTTATTAATCAGCATAACAGGTCAATTATCGTATACACTGAAGATCAGTGACACTTTTAACCTATAGTCCAAAAGGCCAACACATAAACCGTTTTTATTGTAATGCTCTCTATTTCTTTAAGTGATCTTCATTTTAATGAAAAGATATGGATGAAAATATTATGAAAAATACAAATTTATTGATTCCCAACTATGTTTTTTTCTCTATGTGAACCAGTTATTTTGGAAAAAACAATCATTAAAACTAGCCGTATAATATCCATACCTGTCTCTGATTGAGGAGTTTGCATTTAACTGTACAACTATTCTAATTTCCTTCTAATTCTTTTTCCAAAGTTTGAAAATTCAGTACATATTAGTAAGAAGATATTTCATTGCCAGAAATGGCAGAAGTGGCCAGCACTCCAATTGGTGTAAATCTTGTAGATATGTTTTCTCTCCAATTAATCTACAAAATCACAAAACAAAATTTTACAACACAGCAAGATAGTTTTGAATATGTACAAAAAAAAAAATCTTTCAAGAAATATAATTTGTGAAATTATCAATAATTTTTTCAAACGAATTTGGGTAAAACACGAAATTATTCAAAGTTGGTAAAGCTGATGTTTTGGAAATTATTTAATATTTTCGTATACTGTATTAACATTCTGTGTTCAGGGACCCATTTTGACGAAAATGTCTTTTGTTCATAACATAGGTGGCCTCATCGCAATGCGTATTAATACAATTTTTGGTCGTATTGCATGATATAGGCGTAGTTTGTTTACTATCCACCGTGAATCCCCCCTTTGAGCATTGTCATAAAATAAACTAGTTAAAATAAACTTTATATATTATTGCGTTCATGTTAAAGATTAAATAATATGATTTAAATATATTTTAAAAGCATGTAATATTCTACGAAGTAAAATTCTGATTATGACACTACATAGTGTTTATATTTTGTCACGCTGTTGCTACGACCTCGAACGTACATTTCAAATTTCCCGCTTAAAATTGCCTCCGTGTACAAATGATACATCGATAACATAAAAACTTTTAAAATGTAAATACAAGGAATGAAGTTGAATTTTTCGGCATGTATGGGGTCTAACCATCATTAGGTTTCTGACTTATTTACCATAAATATGTCCAGAACCCTTCAGTTGTTACGACCTCACAAATTAAAAAAAGAAATTCCATTCTTTGAATATCTTCACATAATGTCATGTAGCGCCGGGCATTTATATCTTTCATAATCATTTGATTAATTAAATGCCACTTTTGGGGTACAAAATCCTAATCTTTCTCTCACTAGATGATAAAATGATTTTATTTTCCTCATATAATGTTAAATGTGAATCGTTTTTAAATGGTATGCAAGAAAGAAAGCCTATCTTTTTTTGAATAAGTTAAATAAGTGCCAAAACAGACAGCGTTATATTCTTGAAAGTGATAATTTATCTTAAAATGTATGGAGATAAAAAAAATCCTATAAACCTCTATTGAAAACTCTGTAAAAATATAAACGTTTAAAATAAAAACCCTTCAATATCTTATATGTCATGCCTCAATGTTTAAGTACTTGAGGTTTGGCATCAACAAATGCTTTTGCCGGGAACGTGCCTAGCACAATAAAACTGCGCTATATCAATCTTTCTTGGCTCTTTAGCATTTCTTCGAACTTCGTCATCGACTACAGACAATAATGTTCAGAAACATGGTTGGATTCGGATCATATGTAATAAAAAGTAAGCAATTTGATATCACGCGTAAGAAATTATGCTGAAAAATATAAAAATGAACAATATCATAAAAGGTAAGTAGAATTTAACTGTATTGGTGTTAACAACTGGTTCAAAATATTACTTTTTATAAAATATATAATAGGAAATGTCCCTCTCATGTCTATGATATAATTCAACCGTACATTAATGATAATACTGACAATTATCATCTTTGCCACAATAGAATTTTTGATGTTCCTATACCAAGAACTCAATTATATAATGCCAGTTTTTTCCCGAAACTGATGTCTGAATGGAATAATCCAACTTGCCTGTATCCCACAATGACATCCATTGGATCTATAAAAAGAGATTTTTTACACTCAGATGAAATGGATTCTCAACCCCAATGTACTGATATTTTTAAATACAATGGTGATCGAAAATTTAATATTACCTTATGTCAACTTAGAAACTGTGCCAGTAACCTGAATTCAGATCTATTTGAATCTCACCTAATTGATACCCCTGCCTGCTTATGTAGTTCTCCTGTTGAGGACTGTGATCACTTCTTCTTCCATTGTACTCTGTATACTAATCAAAGGCAAATTCTCCTGAACTCCATTTCTGCTTTTAATGACATTATTCCATTAAATACCCAGACTTTTCTTTATGGATGTCAAAGACTTGATATCAATATGAACATAAGTATCTTGGAGATGGTTAAGAGATTCGTTAAAGATACAAGACGCTTTAACTAGATTACACTTACTTGTTTATCTCATGACTTTGCTGTGTGGAATGATACCAGTACATACTTTTACTATGTGCTCTGTCCACCAGCATCATTTTAATTGCCATTTTTTTGTAAAATCTAGTTTTTGTACAACAATTATCAAAAAATTAATAATGACATGCAAATATCAATATTCATGTACATAATATACATGTTTTATCATTAATTCAATTCAATATGATGTGTGTAAACTGTTTATAACTGTAAGGAGAGGGCGCTCATAGGCTTTGCCTGTTGCCCAATTCCTTTGTATCTAAGATCTGAACAATAAATATTCTGAAATGAAAACAACTGGTTCTTTCATGTTTGACTGAAAATGATACATGTACACATACATGGCTATTTTAAATGTCTCATTTTATTACTTACCTTTTAATTACAATTGAAGAATTCAACCTATCCGTCAAACCACAGTGCGAACATTTTAGCGACTGATGCAGATGATGGCGCAAACCAGGTCATTGTATACAAATTAAACGTAAGCATAATAAAAACAAAAAATATATCGATGTTATTGTATCCTGTATAGCATGAAATTGTTTTCTTTAGTGTTCCTTTTCTAATAAGTGTTACAACTATATATATCAATCTTACATGTTCCGATACCGTTTATTTAAATATTGCAATCTTTAAATACGGTGATATTTCCTGTATGAAAACATTTGTAAATAGTAATGGTTAAAACCTGATGCTGTATAGTTTATGCAGTTTGTGCTGTCTGAAATTGAGTTATTTCCTTTCTTATGACAATATTACTTGTCAGAAACCTTTCGCCGCAAACTTTAGCAGCAGTCTGTCTGAAACAATATGTTAACACTATGTTGATCCCTTTGATCCGACACTATTATGCTAAATTCTTATGTTGATATTCTTGTCTGAAACCATCCATAAGATGTATTATAGACCTCTTCTACCGAAAGCAATATGTTAAAGAACATTGCTATATTTGCAGTCTGAAAGTGTATGTTGACTATTCTGATGTTTTTTTCTGTTTTATGCCTGAAATCATATGATACATATTTAATGTATTTTTTTCTGTTTGAAACCGTCTATAAATTAGAGATAGCGATTATTTTCGAGCTGTATGCTGAACAACCATTTCGATTGTTCCTGCCTCAAGCCATGTTTAAATCGATTTGTTTAGTCTAAATGCTAAATAGGTTTGTGTCTTTTTAATCAAAACGTTTTGCTCGATTACTATTTCAGGCGGCAGGCCAGGTGAGCGTTTTTTAGTTGTTTATGTTTTGGAATTACTAAGAAAGTAGAAAGCTTAACATTTTAGCGGAGTTTGTATTTCATAAGATAATCTTTCAGGTATCTGAGCGTTTTAAGTTTCCCTTTTCAGGTGGTTAAAACTTCACTTATTATGAAATAATGAATAAATTTTAGAAGATGCAGTTTCTTTAAAACATAATAAGAACGTGTTAAGTGTTGGTAGTGGAGTACATGACATTACTTTAAAAATATGAAAGAAGAGATATCACAACAGTATACAAAGATAACTATTTTTTTTCACATTCTTTCCTTTTTCATCATTAAGCTTTTCGGCACGAACATGTGAAAGGGGATTGAATGCTAATTATATAACGTTTTAATGAATGTTTAGTCTTCAGGATTGTATAAAGACGTCTTCAGCATCGATCAAAGAGACGGACAGCTCAATCTAGAGAAACCATTAGATTATGAGACGCTAAGCTTTTACCAATATATCATAGTGGCCGTGGTAAGTACGATAACTTGATATAACATTTATTCATATATAACGACGAGGTATTATTCAAACATACTTTTGTTATTTCAAAATGATATTTGTTTCTGATTTTTGTTCTATTTTCAATTGGTTGGTACTGAAAGGACTATACATCTTAACATGATCCATCAGTGCTGTTTTCTAAATATCGATTGAAATAAAATTTATTGAATAATTTTAACTATGTAAAATATTCATTAAGCAATTTAGACAAGGGGTAAGATGAATACAAAATTCATACTATTTGTGATAAAATGTATGTTTTGAGCACAAGACTAGTGCAATCATGATAGACACTTTAAAACCGCTATATCTTTGCCTTTAGAAGAATTTTTATAAAGTACATCGATGTGCATATTATACGATTTCCAACAAATATGTTGTTACATGTATCAAAAAGGTTTAGAATTGATGTGTTCGAAATTCGTTAATATGATTTCAGGATAGTGGGACTCCTCCTTTGACAGGGACTGCTGAAATAACAATCAAAGTGACAGATGTGCAAGATACGCCTCCGAATTTCCAGGGATTACCATATATATTTTCTATCACAGAAAATTCTTCATGGGTATATATCAAATATAGTTTCATGAATGGTGTGTAGTTTCTAAATATAGTTGTTTATGTATATGTTTTCATTGCGTTGAATATGAAAGATTTTGATAACTACTCGCATTGTATTTATCTCTTAGAACTTGATATTTAACCTACCACGTCTTTGTTCGCTTCCTACATTGACATTGACCTACAGAGGACAAGACTGGCCCCCCGAATATCAAACTCTTCGTCAAAAGAGGCGCCTTTAACTTAAAAGTTGTCAACTGATTTTACTAACTAGTACCACATCAGCTTCCTCTGTTTATAGAGCTTACATGTCGCAACTTGTTTAATATTTCTGAAAGTGTTCGAAAAATTAGGGGTTATAAATAGTTGCATTCTTATGGCAAATATTTATAAATTGTTTCACTCTACTGAGGAAATGTTACGGTCTTTGCCATGGCAAAGGTCGCGATAGCTAATGAAAGATCTTCCTTCAAAGGAAGATCTTTCATTAGCTATCGCGACCTTTGTTGTTGTCCGAATATTTTGACAGGAAACTCTTAAAAGGCAAGTTGTTATTAAATATTTTGAATGATACTGTGATTAACAGGCACTAATACATAATGTAATGTCTGTTCCTTAGGCTGGGAAATATATCCTTGCCCAGGACGGTGATCGGGGAATTCCTAGGAATATTAAATACAAAATGGTGAACTCTTCAGGTAATATTTTATTTATAAAAAAAAATAACATATAAAAAAAAAATCAAATACCAAAACGTAAACGACATAATAAAGGTAAGCTGGTACACGGACGACAAAGTAATTTGTATCTGGAATTTATTCATATTTGAATCATGATGAAAGAATAAACATTTTACCAATTTTACATTTAGGTATCACAAAATAATGCTTAGAACATTACAAAATGACATGCTTTTATTAAAATGAAATCACACACAATCTCAAACAAATGTAAAAAAGACATTTTTCTAATTAGTTTTTACATAACTTAAACCCCGAAGATTTGTCTTTCTTTTTCTTTTTTCAAAATAAACCAATGGATTTTGTTCGTAATACTTTCAAACAAACTGCATCTATCAGCATTAACAATATCCGTAACAAGTTCAATGAAATTACCACCAGCCGCGTACGGGAAATCTATAAAACAAATATACAGAACTCTTTATTTCGAAATTATTTGTGACGAATTATATCCCTTGTTTGAAAAGAAAAACAGAAATGAAGAAATGGTGCACTCGGACAAAATGGAACAAAATTACTATCTCAGCTATAACACTAAGGATCCCGATTTCAGGGGGAAAACTGTATTCAACATTTTCGACGGTATTTTGATATTCATGTTGGTATTAATACGTTGATGTCATTGTTAACATTAAAATTGATAGGCGGTCCTGACGATTTTCTTGAGTTACTTTATATTTACTCGTTCGTTACAGGTATCTACATTAAAATCTGTTCCTTATTCTATTTGAAGATGAGTGCTCAAAATTATTTGAGATAAATACCACCACTGGGAAGTTTTTTTCAATAAATGATAAATTGGACAGAGACACTGGAATCGTATTGGAAAATCAAGGTGTATGCAGGATCAGTATTGAGGTTTGTTTCATATCACTACACCTTCAAATAAAAAAATCAAAGGTATGTGTTCCCTCCCTCTGAGGGCAGAGAGGCTGGACCCTAGAAAAGATCAAACTTTCAAATCGTTTTGAAAAGAAAGGAAATCAAGCAATCCTTCTACTTTTGTAATAATGGAGAGATTTAAACCACAAATTATCTAGAACATCCCTTGAGCAGAGATAGGCGGGACCCATTAGAGGGACTTAGGTAAATCTTAAAAATGCTTCTCCTTCTGTTCAAATGGAGGGATGCTAACCAAAAGTAATGTAGAACAGCCTTGGGCAAAGTGAACTCAATTCTGTATAAATGGAAGAGGTGGCCGAGCTGGGGCAGAGGGACGGGCCAATTAGTAGGAATCAGGTAAATCTTTTAAATCCTTCTTTTTCTGTAGAAAAGCATGGGTTTGAACCAAATTCGGTGAAGTGCATCTTTGGCAATTTGGACTCAATTGTGCAGAAACGAATAGTATGGCCCTGCTGGGTCAAATGCCCATTACTAGTAACATAGAGATAAATAAATCATTGTTGTCTAACTACGTTTCTTCAAAGGTCTCGTTGGGGAAAATTGAATTCAAATGTATACAAGTCGAGGGTGGGACCAGATGGGTGGGGCCAATTAGGGCCAACAATTTTGTTTGTATGAATTGAGGGATTTAGGCAAAGGTGTACAAAATCCGTGGACAATGTGTCTCAATCTCGTTTTTAATGGATAGTGTGGGTCTTTTTTGTAATTTTTGTCCATGAAAATGGAGGGGTGTTTATCAGAAAGTGTCTAGAACATGCCAATATGATGTGTTTTTTATGTACTTGATGTATTTCTGTATACAATTATACTTGTGCATGATTATGGATATTTTCTGATATGTATGTACGGTAAGATATTAATTAAATGTGTGTACAAAATCTATCTTGCTGTTATTTGTTAATTTAAATTGAGGCTTATGTACTTGTACATAAGCCAGGTTTGAATTAATCAAATACATGTTACAAGCCAAGCTACTAGTCAGTATATATAGCTTGGCTAACAATGATTATAATGAGATCCTAAATGATACTAATTAATAATAGATATTGATTAATCCCTTGCAATGTAAATAATTGGACACTGGCCTATCTGTCTATATTCAGTGTATTGACAATGTGTGTAATGGAGATGGGCAGCGACCATATACATAGCGAGGGCCTAATGTAAACAATCACTTGTGGGGGATCTATCCATATTTGGTTGGGTGTAATTCGAGAGGGATATCGACAGTATACATGTCAAGTGCCTGACTGGTCAGTGGTCAATGATGGTAATTGATAGGTCACGTGCAACCAAACAGCAGTCTGATTGGCCGAAGGAATTTTGGATAGCGTCACTTCAGTACAGCGACCGTAGCAAAATGAACAGTCGGAAATTATCTTAACATCCTTGGGGAGGGGAAGCTATTTTTTTATAAACAGATGGCGTTGCAATCATTAAGGCCGAAGGGATGGGCTCTTAATGGGGAAAACGGATAAATATTTAAAGTTTTTCTCCATTTTTATTAATGGAAGCATTTACTAGTTTCTTAAGTTTGGTCTAGAACATCATTGGACAAAAGGGACTCAAATGTGTAAAAACAGATGGTGTGTGCTCCCGGGGGGAAAAGGACTGTGCCCAAGAGGGGAAATAGTAATAAATCTTATTTAAATATTATCTTAAATACTATTCTTTCTTCAAGAGGTTAGGGATGTTTACAAACTTTTGTTTAGACGAAACAAGGACCAAATAAAATGTAATTGGATGATGTGATTCTTCTATGGGGCAGAGGGGTGGGGCACAATATAATAAAATTGAGGTTAATCTTCCAAATTCGTCGCCTCCTGAAGGAATGGAGGGATTTTTTTTATCAAATTTGGTCTAGAGCCATCGTTGAGAAAAGAGGATAACATTGTGTATACATTAAGGTGTGGTTCCTCTGGGAACAGAGGGGCTTGCCTAAATAGATTAAATAGATGTTAATCTTAAAATCTGTTTCGTTCAACACAAAAGAAGGAGTCCAAACCAAATTTGATATAGAGTATCCTTGTCCCAATTAAATTCAATGTTTTATAACCATATGCCATGGGTACCAAGGCCTACATATATATACATGTATATAGACTGCTTATCAAATCCAAACTGCACTCCTACATACATTTTGTATTCTTTTGATATTCTTTAATTAAGAGTCAATATATTTTTTTACTAAACCCCATCAAGTTAATCAAGATGAACACATTTTAACCACACTACGCATATTTGTGAACGTATATTGCATGAACAATGCATAAACATATCTGTATCACCAAACGTGCGATTTGTGATGATTAACTTACCAAAACGTTCCATTTGTAATGACTAACTTACCTTTTCTGCACTCATATGCTGACAAGGAAAATATTATACATGCAACATGTAACCCTTCCTTTATTAGTATAATGTTAAACGGTGATATCTTATGATACATTTGGGTAGGCTGAAGAGATAACAGAACCCGGAGAGCCGACTACCAATTCTACAGCCACCACGACAGTGACTGTGATGGTGGAGGATCTAGACGACAACGTACCAACCTTCAACAAGTCTCACTACGACGCCTACATAGAGGAGGACGTGTCCAACATTCCAATAAACATCGTGGGATCGACAGGCATAGAGGTGTTCGATCTGGGTCAGGTTAGAAACAGGAAAACATTTAGTACATTTAACAATGTGTGTATTTTGTTGATGCAATATACACACTTGTCACAGAATGAGCGCTATATACGCAGTTTATACACGATCTGGTAATATTTAGTTTGAACATGTAAATTATAATATTATGTATAAAATGTGTTCCGTGTAAAATACAATTGTTTCCCGAAACAATGATATAAGTCCCAATAGTATGCCATCGTCCATAAAAACATTTAAATGAACGCCAACAAATCTATATGTAGTAGGGAAGGTCATATAACCTGAATAAGAAAACGTCAGTAAAAATAATATGGAATTTTCAAATTCGGTGGCATATCCTTCCACACACAAACAGAAGTTTGTTTTTTATCCCTATTCTGTTCTACCAAAAACATCATACTAGCTTACTAATCAACAAAACAATCGTCAACTACAGACAGTATGGTAATTTCACATGCATATAACCTAATGCGATAAAGGCGTTATTTGATGAATGTTTACTCAGTTAAATGTTTTTTTCAAGGTACATGTAGCTACATAGTTGTCAGAATATGTTAACAAGGAGAAAAAACATACCTACACGGATAAAATATTTTCATAACGGCTTCCTTTAATTGTACACCAAATATTACATATCACGTGATGCATACCTGTGCAGCGTGTTTTAAATGGTACGGGGCTAGCTTATTGAAAAGCAGAAATGTCTTTAAATGCCATATATAGCATATTTCGTTTAACATTATCTACTGTCATATCAAGAACGTAATATATAAAGTAAACATTTGTGTGTATGTCAATGAATATATATACCTTCTCGCGAATTTGGTAGGCTAGCCGATTCACACTTTCCCATGATAGAAAATTACTACGCGTCGTAGCATAAATGGCTGCTCCTCAGACGATGTTTCAAGTGGGCATATCGGTAAAAGTTGACGGGAAATGACACGGAACGGTGATTAAGGTTACAGAATCAACTGCAGGGCCTATATATAAAGTAAGGATCGATGGAGTGTATTTCAAGATTGATTTAACGGACTACTGACTTAGCACGTCACCATTCCGACATCGGGACAGATGTCAGAGAATGTGGGTCAACTCGTTTTTGACATATTCTGAAGATAACACATGTATACAAGCCATGACAAACATAAAAGCTTTGTCGAAAGCATTTTATGATTTGAACGCTTTCGAAAATGTTTCTTGCGAAAGAAAATGAGGAAAGGCAAATTCGCTATGTCTCCCTTCTAATTTGTGCCCACTTCTGTGCAAATTTTGTATTACCATGTGAAAGTAGGATGGCTCAAACAACGAACCTAGCTCACTGAGTTATTTCATGGGTAGCTACCGAAGATAATTATTGAGGTAAGAATATCGCCTAACATCGGGTCATGGATATAAACACCGTCAGGACGATAAAAAAGCAAAACAACGCAAGTGAACCTAGAAGGAAAGGGTAGTCGCCCAAATAAGAAAATCCTATTACTATTCAGGAAATCGAACCTTAGGAGAAAACTGTTCACTCTATAATAAACACATTTTGACTCTAAAACACAATCCATTTCGGGCTTTTGGGCAAGCATGAGCGTGAACATAGATCAATGACCTGGGGACAAGTTAAACCATGCGGCGATTCGGATAAGAATGAATATCAGGAATTTCAGAAACGTCATACCAAAACAAGATAACCCACGTCATGCTTACGCTGTGTCCCCCTAAATGTGGGCAGATATTGAGAAAATCGGTCGATGTCCCGAAATTGTCAAAAATGTTATCCCAGCAAACCTTCTACATTGCCACACATACATGTACAAATGTGACGTACATGCTTGAATTGACCAATGGTTCAAAAGTCATCCTATCTGAACAAATAAACTTACCCCGTTGGTGAAGAAAATGTCCACAACGGCTCGACTCAGATGAGGTAAACTCACTAATCCCAGCGCTCGTAGCCACCTCGTACAAACATTGGTAACCAACGAAATACTACCAAACACTATCGTGGAGTATACGGGCGAGTGTTACTTGTAAATCGGTGATAAATCATAGCTACATGAACGAGGATACTGTTACAGGAAAATATTGAAAATAATGTCATATTCTTCCAGTGTTTAAAATGTAAATCCAGTATCTACCAGAACAACATGGTGGGAAACACATCACCTGTTCGTCACGTCGGACAGCCACCAGGACAGCCCATTCCACAGAAATATTAACATGTTGTTTGGTGGAACACATTCACGGCGGGCAGTTCAATATCAATGTTAATAGTAAATCTGACTGATAATCATGAAGTGAACGGAATGTCGCAGGCTGTGAATCTATCGATGTCGTAAATTTAACTCCGATTTACAAGTTCTATAAAGAGAAATACTTCCACGGTTTAAATATGAACATGTATTGTATTTGTTGATCTTATACTTACTAAGATACTGAACATTCTACGTTAAATAGAATTATTTATGTTTTTCCTTGTCTTTTTATTTTACCAGGCACTAAATTTAATAGCGCACGCATACTGACCCATTCTTGTTGTATTGTGATGCGGTTTATAACAACAAAAACAGCTGATCGTCGTTGTTTCTCGTTCTTCAAGACTGGTTTCATAAATCTCATATATAGTAAAAACCCATTTCAGATTCTGTATATAACAAGGGATTTGTTTAAGGATTGTCCCAGTGATGATGCTTTAACAATCATAAGGACTATAAAGACAGTTTAAGGTAGCACGCGGACATATCAACAACAGGGGGTAACTGTGTAAATAATAGCTAAGGGACAGGCTTCGGTCGTGCCCATTCTTACTCGTGTATTTCAAAAGAGTAATTAAAGAAATGGAAACTGAATTATCTGTGTATCGGTGAGAATGAAATATTTACCCGTTCTTAGTTTCAAGCTGTATCAATTGACAAAATTCATGACCTTATTTTATTAACAGGGACCAAACAGTAAGTTCAGCCTAACAGTCCGATATACCAACGGAACCAGATTTACTGGAATTGAAGCCACACCGTCATTAGTTCTTTCCCGGGCTACGGTTTTATTGAGACTTGTAAATGGTTTTGAATTCGACTACGAAACAGAACAGACCATTACACTGCTTGTAAGTGATTATTATATTTGTTGAATGTATTTAAGCTTCCTTTTTATATCAGTTCCATGTTGTTTTATCATAAACAGTATTAACAGTGACATATTTCCATATTTGAAAGTATGAATAGACCCACTTGGCACTTTACAGGATCTCAAAGTTAAAATCAATAAAGTTACAAACTATTACAGTTCTGATGATTTTTAAACAATTTTTACCTACATGTTTGTTTACATGTGAGAGGTTCGGTCCACTATTAACATCACAATAACATATATCAACTAACTATGAATATGGCCCTTTCTTTGTCTGGTTTTTATGGGAGCAATTTATGAACTGCGCTCATAATTAAATTATAAAATAACGAATCCCTGCGATTACTGTAATTACGAGTCATTACAATATATAACTACTGAAATTTATCGTTTTGTTTGCATGAGACATTTTAGAAAAGGTTTTACATGTAAATTTGTGAGTAAGTCTTGGAATATTTTGAACGATATTCAATATTGTTTATCTTTCTATCATAATATGTACATGTAATATAACACCTTAATTGTTACTGACAGGTTGTAGCCACTGAGAGCATTAACCTAAGTCTATCTACAACATGTACAGTCGATGTTTACATCAATAATACCAACGACAATGATCCAGAGTTTAGTCAGGATGAATACAATGCCACCATCCCCGAAAGTCCGCCGACTGGCACATCAGTTACAGTAGTCACGGTACACGTGTGTTATAATAGCAATGCATTTGTGATATCAACAGTTAGGAGATATACATTAAACTATGATACAAACAGTGTAAAGTTATAGGAGATATACATTTACTACGATATAAACAGTGTAAAGTTATAGGGGATATACATTTACTACGAAATAAACAGTGTAAAGTTATAGGAGACATACATATAAACAGTGTAAAGTTATAGGAGATATACTTTTACTTTGATATAAACAGTGTAAAGTTATAGGAGACATACATATAAACAGTGTAAAGTTATAGGAGATATACTTTTACTTTGATATAAACAGTGTAAATTTATAGAAGATATACATTTACTATGATATAACATGGTAAAGTTATAGGAGATATACATTTACTACGATATAAACAGTGTAAAGTTATAGGAGATATACTTTTACTTTGATATAAACAGTGTAAAGTTATAGGAGATATACATTTACTATGATATAAAAAATGTAAAGTTATAGAAGATATACTTTTACTTTGATATAAACAGTGTAAAGTTATAGGAGATATACATTAAACTATGATATAACATGGTAAAGTTATAGGAGATATACATTTACGACGATATAAACAGTGTAAAGTTATAGGAGATATACTTTTACTTTGATATCAACAGTGTAAATTTATAGGAGATATACATTTACTATGATATAAACAATGTAAAGTTATAGAAGATATACTTTTACTTTGATATAAACAGTGTAAAGTTATAGGAGATATACATTAAACTATGATATAACATGGTAAAGTTATAGGAGATATACATTTACGACGATATAAACAGTGTAAAGTTATAGGAGATATACTTTTACTTTGATATCAACAGTGTAAATTTATAGGAGATATACATTTACTATGATATAAACAATGTAAAGTTATAGAAGATATACTTTTACTTTGATATAAACAGTGTAAAGTTATAGGAGATATACATTAAACTATGATACAAACAGTGTAAAGTTATAGAAGATATACATTTACTACGATATAGAAAGTGCAAAGTTATAGAAGATATAAATTTACTACGATATCGAAAGTGTAAAGTTATAGAAGATATACATTTACTATGATACAAACAGTGTAAAGTTATAGGAGATATACATTAAACTATGATACAAACAGTGTAAAGTTATAGAAGATATACATTTACTACGATATTTAAAGTGTAAAGTTATAGAAGATATACATTTATTACGATAAAAACAGTGTAAAGTAATAGGAGATATACATTTACTATGATATAAACAGTATTAATTATAGGATATATACATTAAACTATTATATAAACAGTGTTAAGTTATCGGAGATATACATTTTCTCTGGTATGAACAGTTCTATGTTCAGATTTATTGATTAAACTATGATATAAACAGGGTAAAGTACGGGATTATAGAATACAGTGCACTATGATATAAATAGTGTAAAGTTAGGAAAGTTATGAGTTATACATTGAATAGCTTATTACTTTAATTATTAGATCACGTTTAAATTTAATGTATCACACAATTGTTTTTTTCTTTTATGTATAGAGATATTTTGTTATATGTTAATCATTTTATTTATAAGAATGAATCAGCGCTTGCAGTTGTCGTTATTTGTTTACTTGGATTTTTGTTAAAAACATAATTTGTAAAAGCCATATCAGGCTTCACTCTACTGCTGATCGCTTAAATGAAATAAAGGTAGTATTTAGATTGTATTTCATTGCACTTTTCGACTTTAATCTTTTGAGCTTAGTTTTTAACAGGCAGAAGATCTCGATCTAGAAGAATACGGCAAATTGACCTATACACTGAAAGGCTCTTCCCAGTAAGCTCGTTTTCAAGTCAATTCACTCTTTTGCGACTTTTCATACGAGATGATCGAACCCCATACGTCAATCTTTTATCGTTCATACTTATCGGAAGAAATGAAAATAAACTACGGCCCCGCATCTGGCTTTGTCGTCAATGTAGTGTCATTAGTATAAGCAGTTTATCAACTTACTGATTAACCAGAGCGGTCATCTGTTAAATTCAAGTATGCGTTAAATTTTGAATGCACTATTATAAATATGTTGACAGAATAATATGAGTTTGTCAATGCAGATTGTTGCACTGTTAAGAAATTCATACTTTTTATACACCGATGACAATGTTAGAACCGCGCTCAATGCTTAAATCAAATAATCAACTGCCAATGCATACGGTGAAGACCGTTAGGCACACACATGTGACTTCACTGTGATATTTTGTGATACAGTATACCGAACACTGAGTTTTACTGCATCATACCACTGTTTCGTCCTCTAGGACTCATCGGTAATGCTAGATTTGAAATCCAAATGGGTTTTAAAAACTACGATATTGAATTATTTAATGGCTAATACTTACTTGTCATATATACAGAAGAAATGCTATCGTGTTAATATTTAACGTGTAAAACAACGTGATTATTTATAGGTTTGGCATTGATCCACACAATGGCACTGTTTACACTGAGGGAAGTCCTGGTGACCTTGACCGAGAAACACGTGACACATACTATTTGACGGTGGTAGCCACTGACGGAGGAAACAGGAGGGCGGTGGCCTCTCTGACAGTAACTCTCTCCGATATCAACGATAACCCACCCATCTTCCTTTATAATACAGTGGAGATGTCAATTACTGAGAATACGACACAGTTCAATCCAGATATACTAGTAACGGTAGGAATCACAGGTTAACCGTTCGAATAAAAGGTCCCTTCCTTATCCCGTGAAGTGTAAAAAGGTATAGTTCAGATTATAAAGAGAAAAGAAAAAATAGTGACGCGAAAGCAATTCGGTTTATAGATATGCTCATCTGTGAAGGAAACAATGTACATCTATCAAACCCGAAACGGTTTTATCGCTTATTTTAAGTCTTCATGATACGTTACATTTCTTTAACAAAAAACTGATTAAAAATAACTCCTATTTATTGTCTTCCATTTTTTTCTAATTCCATTAATTGATATCAACCACAGGCAACCGACATAGACGAGATCAACACACCAAACAGTGAAGTTATGTACAGACTTAAATGTCCCGATAACCTGAACAACAACTTCACCATTAACAGCACCACAGGTGAAATCATCGCCACACAGCCTCTGGACTACGAACGCCTCAACTCGTCACAGAACGGACAGATACATCTGATCGTTATAGCATACGACAATGGAAACAAATCTCTTGAATCAAACACTACTGTAACGATCAACGTACATGTGAGTGTGTTTTCGTTCTAAAATAGTTCACCGACACCTGTTGAAGGAAAAAGCAATACGCAAATCATTTGTTTAAATGTTACAAGTTGTTTTCTAATAACTTTTTTATGTTTCAAAGGATATAAACGATAACACACCAAACTTTCATCAGGATAGCTACAACGCCAGTATTCCTGAAAACTCAGCAGCAGGTACGAAATTAACTTTCTTATAGACTTACCTGTATACATGCGGATGTATCAATACAAACTAATATACAATGTTTGATATAATGAGTTTGTGGTAAATTAATGGAATGTGGAGAATTGTTATTAAAAAGGTAACATTAATATGGAGACCGCGTATTCTTTCTTGATATTGTTATTATATATTTTTGCTTAATATGTATTATGTAACCGTGCATGTCCGTCCTTTCTTTATCCACTATAGGTTTTAGTATTGGTCATTAAGCCCAAGTGTCAGTATTTGTTTAAAAGTGTTTGTGTATATTCAGTATACCCGAGACTAATGAAAATGTATTTCATTTTGAAGGAATATTCGTGGCCAATGTGTCAGCAAGTGATGGGGATGCAACCAGCCCAAACAATGAAGTCCGATACTATATTGAAAAAGGAGGATCCGATTTGTTTCGAATAAACGGACAAAATGGCACCATCACTGTTGATCTGAATGCTAAATTCGACAGAGAAAGTCAGGACCAGTATAACCTGACAATAATTGCCGCTGATATTGGTACTCCGCCAGAAACAGGGACAGTGACTCTAACTATAACAATTACTGATATCAACGACGAAAGTCCTGAGTTCGGCCAGTCTAGTTACATAGCGAGTGAGAAAGAAGATATCGCCATTGGATATATCGTTAAAAACTGTACTGCTTCTGATGCCGATAATAACAATGAACTTGAGTACGACATCCAAACTCATTCAGCGACAGATGGTGCAGGAAACAGTGTCAACATCAGTCTAGTTGAGGTAAGCTTATACTACAAACATGTATATACAAAATATTTACAGTGAAGTAAAGGCAAAACAAAAATGAAAAAAATAAACTCGTGATGATGATGATGATGATGATGATGATGATGATTTGTCTTCTATAACGTTATTAGATACAACTTTACTACTATTTTATATTATTTTACTTTATTTTACTTTATTTTACATTATTTTACTTTTTTTACATTATTTTACTTTTAGCATATGTTTGACATTTATCCAAACAATGGATCTGTGTTCGTGAGTAACAGTCTGGACAGAGAAAAAGCAAGCCAAGTAACGTTGATTATCATTGTCAACGACACAAAGTGCGCCGAACATTGTCCCCAGACAGCTACGGGTAGGTGGAATTCAACTAGCTATTCGTGTTGTATTACCTGTAATAAATTATATGAATATGTGTCTATACATTTGTATATATATGTATGTGTAGAATATAAGTCGAAATAGCATGTTATTTATACTACTGAGTCAAACAATCGACTCAAAGTAATCCCAAATGATAGCGGTTAGCCTTGGTAGTAACTATTTGACGGTCCATGTTTAAAAAGGACCTATCTCTACGCTAGTGTAAAAGTATACATTATGTCCCTTACTAGTGATATTTATATAACTTTCAGTTTTCACCATTATCACGTCAGTAGCTGTTCATATTATGTCACTAGCTCTCCATTATCACGTCAATAGCTGTCAATTATCACGTCAGTAGCATTTCTTATCATGTCATTAGCTGTCCATTATCACCTCAATCTAACCTGCTCATTATCATGTCAGTAGCTGTTCATATCATGTCACTAGCTGTCCATTATCACTTCAATAACTGACCATTATTATGTCAGTTGCTGTATATTATCACGTCAGTAGCTGTCCATTATCACGACTATACCTGTCCATTATAATGTCAGTAGCTGTTCATATCAATTCAGTAGCTGTTCATTATCACGTCAGTAGCTGTCCATTATCACGTCAGTAGCTGTTCATATCACGTCAGTAGCAGTTCATATCATGTCACTAGCTGTCCATTGTCACGTCAATAGCTGCCCATTATCATGTCAGTCGCTGTCTATTATCACGTCAGTAGCTGTCCATTATCAAGACTGTAGCTGTCCATTATCACGTCAGCAGCTGTTCATTATCACGTCAGTAGCTGTTCATATTGCGTCAGTAGCTGTTCATATCACGTCAATAGCTGCCCATTTTCATGTCAGTCGTTGTTTATTATCACGTCAGTAGATGTCCATTATCACGACTGTAGCTGTCCAATATCAATAAGGTCAGTATCCGCCATTTCCATGTCAGTATCTGTCCATTATCATGTCAGTATCTGCCTAATATCATGTCAGTAGGTGTCGACAAACACGACAGTATCTGTACTTTATCACGTCGTCAGTAGCTGTCCAATAACGCTTCAGAACAAGACAGTATCTGTCCATTATCACGTCAATAGAGGTTCATTATCATGTCTGAAGCTGTCCATTAACATGTCAGTAGCTGTCCATTAACATGTCAGTATCTGTCCATTATCACGTCAGTAGAAGTTCATTATCATGTCTGAAGCTGTCCATAATCACGCCAGTAGCTGTCCATCATCATGTCAGTAGCTGTCCGTTATTAGCTCACCTGGCCCGAAGGACCAAGTGAGCTTATGCCATGGTGCGGCGTCCGTCGTCCGTCCGTCGTCCGTCCGTCGTCCGGCGTCAATATTTTACTTCAAACAACTTCTTCTCAATAACCAAAAGGCCTATGATGATGATATTTGGCAAGTAGCAAACTGAGATAAAGGGCTACCAAGTGGTTTTTTTTTTAATAAAAGTCCCTTCACCTATTTTCAAGGTCACAGGGTTCAACTATGTTAAAAACTTTAAACAACTTCTTCTGAATAATTAAAGGTCGCAGGATGATGATATTTGGCCAGTTGCATGCTTGGATAAAGGGCTACCAAGTTTGTTCAAATGAATGACTATCATCTGTTTTCAAGGTCACAGGGGTCAATTGTCTTAAAAAAAGTTAAAAAACTTCTTTTCAATAATTAAGAGGCCTAGGATAATTATATTTGGCCAGTAATATGCTAGGATAAAGGGCTACCAAATTTGTTCCAATGAATTACTTCAATATATATTCAAGGTCACAGGGGTCAAATATGTTAAAAACCTTCAAACAATTTCTTCTCGATAACCGAAAACCCGAGGACGATGCTATTTGGCCAGTAGCATGCTGGGATGAAGTGCTACCAAGTTTGTTCAAATGAATGACCTTGACCAACTTTGAAGGTCACATGGGTCAAATGTCTTAAATCTTCAAACAACTTCTTCTCAATAACCAAAAGGCCCAGGGTACTGATATTGGGCCTGTAACATGCAGGGAAGATTGACCGTGACACACTATCAACGTCAGTGGGGTCAGATGTCTTAAAATCTTCAAACAACTTCTCAATAACAAAAACGCCAAGGGTACTGATATATTTGGCCTGTAGCATGCTGGGATGAAGGGCTACCAGGTTTGTTCAAATGCATGACCTTGACCCACTTTCAACTTAATGTCCTTGTTCAACATTCAAGGACACATGCTTCATGTTTAAATCTTTTAATAGGTTCTTGTGAATCAAACACTGATATTCTGCCTGTAGCTGTATTTTAGTCCACTTTTAAGATTACAAGTGTGAGATTAATACCAGGTGAGCGATGCAGGCCCATTGGGCCTCTTGTTACATCAGTTACCCTCCATTATTACGTCAGTAACTGTCCATTATTATGTCACAAGCTGTCCATTATCACGTCATTAGCTGTCCAACAACGCGTCAGTAGCTGTCCATTATAACGTTTGTAGCTATCCATTATGATTTCAGTAGTTGTCCATTTACACGTCAGTAGCTGTCAATTATCACGTCAGTGTCTGTCCATTATTACATCAGTAACCCTCCATTATTACGTCAGTAACTGTCCATTAACCTGTCAGTAGCTGTCCATTATCACGTCATTAGCTTCCAACAACGCCTCAGTAGCTGTCCATTATAACGTCTGTAGCTGTCCATTATGATGTCAGATGCTCTCCATTTACACGTCAGTAGCTGTCCATTATAACGTCAGTAGCTGTCCATTATCACGTCAGTAGCTGTCCATTATAACGTCAGTAGCTGTCCATTATCACGTCAGTAGCTGTCCATTAACACGTCAGTAGCTGTCCATTTACATGTCAGTAGCTGTCTATTATCACGTATGTAGCTGTTCATAAACACGTTAGTAACTGTCCATTATCATGTCAGTAGCTGACCGTTAAAATCTCAGTAGCTGTCCATAATCATGTCAGTAGCTGTCCATTATCACGTCAGTAACTGTCCATTAACACGTCAGTAACTGTCCATCAACACGTCATTAAAACCCAGCTGTGAAGTCATCTATTGTTGTATTGGTCCATTATATTGCATAATGGACACCTAAGAGTCCATTATTTAACGGGACAGTTCATTATTTTTTCCAATAATGGACAGTCAGCGCAGAAACAAAACTCCAAAACACAGATATGAAAAGTAAACATTTTAATATTAAACCAAACATGTCTTATCGTAAACATTCTAACTGAAAAAAATCTAAAGACTATGTCACCTTTCTAAATTCAATTGCAGCATAGCATTTCCAGTTTCACAGTTCACTATACACATGTACGTCCTATAATTTGGACTTTCTGCTTCCATAGAGACTACAGTCAATAACCTCATTTAAAACACCACATATTTCGTTTTCTTTCTGTTCCCAACGAAGAATTTCACTCATTTTCTGTTGCTGTTCATCACTTGTTCGTTTGTATAATCTTACAGCATTTGACCTATGTCCTGTTTTCTCCGCTATCAGTTGTTCATCAACTCCTGCAGAATATATACGTGTCGCTGCCGTTGCCCGCTGCCGTTGCCCGCAACGAGTGATTAGTAAAGTTTCCTAAAAATCAAGCTTCTTCACATAATTTTTTAACAGTTTCCTGCAGAGTGTGAACGCCAACTGAAGCATCTACGTACCAGCATGATCCAGTAAAAGTAGCTTTCGGGCGCAGATAAAAGGCATCAGTCTTAGCCGTTACTAGTCTAAAAGAAAAAAAAGAAAAAAATATATATGATATATATAATATATATGTGTTTCCTCCATTACACACGTTATGATAAACAAAACTGAAAGCATAGATTTTTAGCCCAATTTTGACAGTTGAAGTTTGTTATTACTATTTTTAGAAAGTTCTTTATGGAGCTTTCTCAAATTTTATAGGTAGGTTCCCCATGATTTCTAGTATCGGTGGCCATTTTGAATTGTGACAGCTGGAGTTTGTTATTGCTGTTTATTAATATAAGATACACTCACATTGCCTGTATGTATTTGATGTAGAGTTGTACAATGCACCTGCCCTTGTTACTACTCTCATAGCCACGGGTCATCTTTGCTGTGACTTTCTGATGAGACAAACCATCAGAGTTAGTCTTGGAAATGTCCTCTGTGTATTGGAGATATTTACGACCATCAGAGTCCTGCATGAGCTTAATCTCAGACAAAGGTCCATACCTTAGATTTCTATGTTCTTTTCCAGCCCTCAAGGCGAAATGAAGTCCATTGAGATAGATCATGGTGGTGAAAAGCTTCTGAGGAGTTTCTGATCCTAAAATTCCCATAGACCATAATTTCTCCTCCTATTGAACAGTTATGATTTCAGCCTGTTTCCTCTCCAGCCCCAGTTCTTGTTTAGAAAGGTTCTTCATCTTAGCATAAAGAATGGACTTCATTTTGGAATAGACTTCATCATCCAAAAAGCTTACCAGCTTACCGCTTGAACGAAGGAAGTGCTGAATAGACACAATTATTTCATATATGATATTTGGTCTATATTCCTTCCCTGCCTCATTGCGTACTTCCGTAATAAAGAAACACATGGCATCTGACATTTCTTCAGGTTCCATTTCCATTAATGGCTTACTAAAATTTTGTTCAAAGTCCTTGTTTGCTCTCTGATTTTGCCACTTATAGAATAAATTAACCGCCCACCTTGCTTTGTTTTCAGTTTGTTTGCACTTTCCTTCACTCAATAAAGACTGCAAGTCTTTCTCTTTTAGAGGGGACAGGAATCTAGTACTCTCCTTTCCATTGCTCTTAATGTCTGAATTTTCCATATCCATAGATGCTTGTACTAACAAATCATCATCAGACGAAATGTCAGAAAATAAGTCATTCTTAATGTTAAACAGGGAACGTATTCTTTCTCCATGTCAATTACTCGACTAAGAACTTCATCAGTATCAGCTTCACAGCAAGACACATCTCTAAATGAAGATTGTGTGAGGAACAACTCATGGTCGCTGTCTGACATGATGTTGGCTCATCTAGTGTATACCGAATACTGAACACTCAGGGTACATGCCGTGTCAACCTGACTGTCCATTATGTGTCACGGGTGGCTTAACACATTTCTATTACTGCATAGGCATGTGCTATTTCTGATAAAGGGTAAGAAGGCTAGGAGTGTGCTAGGTTTTAAGTAGGATAAAGTCCTCAAGCTGTCTATTCTTTGAAATAATGTCCATTATTTCAAAGAATAAACAGCTTTCGGACATTAACCTTTACGTAGCAGGTCATTATCATGCCAGCAGCTGTCCACTATCACATCAGTAGCTGTCCATTATCACATCAGTAGCTGTCTATTATCACATCAGTAGCTGTCCAATATCACATCAGTAGCTGTCCTTTATCACATCAGTAGCTGTCAATTATCACATCAGTAGCTGTGTATATACAAGTCAGTTGTTGTCCATTATCACGTCATTAGCTGTCCAACAACGCGTCAGTAGCTGTCCCTTATAACGTTTGTAGCTGTCCATTATTACGTCAGTAGCTGTCAGTTTACACGTCAGTAGCTGTCCATTATCACATCAGTAGCTGTCCATTATCACATCAATAGCTTTCAATTATCACATCAGTAGCTGTCAACAATCACATCAGTAGCTGTCCATTATTACAACAGTAGCTGTCCCCTATCACATCAGTAGCTGTCCATTATCACATCAGTAGCTGTCTTTAAACAAGTCAGTTGTTGTCCATTATCACGTCATTAGCTGTCCAACAACGCGTCAGTAGCTGTCCATTATAACGTCTGTAGCTGTCCATTATCACGTCAGTAGCTGTCCATTGACACGTCAGTAGCTTCTTTTATCACGTATGTAGCTGTTCATAAACACGTCAGTAACTGTCTATTATCATGTCAGTAGCTGTCTTTTAAAATCTAAGTAGCTGTCCCTCATCATGTCAGTAGCTGTCCATTATTATGTCAGTAACTGTCCATTAACACGTCAGTAGCTGGTCATTATCACGCCAGCAGCTGTCCAATATCACATCAGTAGCTGTCTTTCAGCAAGTCATTTGTTGTCCTTTATCAAGTCGGTAACTGTTTATTACCATGTCAGTAGCTGTCCATTAACACGTCAGTAGCTGTCTATTAATACGTCAGTAGCTGTCCATTAACCCGTCAGTAGCTGTCTATTAACACGACAGTCGTTTTCCATTAACATGTCAGTAGCTGTCAATTATCTCATCAGTAGCTATCCATTATCAGCTCACTAGCTGTATATTAGCACACGTTAGTCGCTGTCCATTAACATGTCAATACCTGTCCATTAACATGTCTTTAGCTGTCAATTAACAAGTAATTAGCTGTCCAACAACGCGTCAGTAGCTGTCAGTTATCACACCAGTAGCTGTCTATTGATACGTCAGTCGCAGTCAATTAAAATGTCAGTAGCTGTCCATTAACATGTCAGTAGCTGTCAATTATCTCGACAGTTGCTATCCATTATCATGTCAGTAGCTGTCCAACAACGCATCAGTAGCTGTCCATTAACAAGTAATTAGCTATCCAACAACGCGTCAGTAGCTGTCAGTTATCACACCAGTTGCTGTCTATTAATACGTTAGTCGCAGTCAATTAAAATGTCAGTAACTGTCCATGAACATGTCAGAGCTGTCCATTATCACGTCAATAGCTGTCTATTATCACGGATGTAGCTGTCTATCAACAGGTCAGTTGTTGTCCTTTATTACGTCAGTAACTGTTTATTACCATGTCGGTATCTGTCCATTAACACGTCAAAGCTGTCCATTATCACGCCAGCAGCTGTCCATTATCACATCAGTAGCTGTCTATTATCACGGATGTAGCTGTCTATCAACAGGTCAGTTGTTGTCCTTTATTACGTCAGTAACTGTTTATTACCATGTCGGTATCTGTCCATTAACACGTCAAAGCTGTCCATTATCACGCCAGCAGCTGTCCATTATCACATCAGTAGCTGTCTATTAACACGGATGTAGCTGTCTATCAACAGGTCAGTTGTTGTCCTTTATTACGTCAGTAACTGTTTATTACCATGTCGGTATCTGTCCATTAACACGTCAAAGCTGTCCATTATCACGCCAGCAGCTGTCCATTATCACATCAGTAGCTGTCTATTAACACGTCAAAGCTGTCCATTATCACGTCAGTAGCTGTCTATTAACATGTCTGTAGCTGTCTATCAACAGGTCAGTTGTAGTCTTTTATTACGTCAGTAACTGTTTATTACCATGTCAGTATCTGTCCATTAACACGTCAAAGCTGTCCATTATCACGTCAGTAGCTGTCTATTAACACGTCTGTAGGTGTCCATTAACACGTCAGTAGCTGTCCATTAACACGTCAGTAGCTGTCCATTATCACATCAGTAGCTGTCCATTAAAACCTCAGTAACTGTCCTTTATCACGTCAGTTATTGTTCATTAACACGTCAGTAGCTGTCCATTAACATGTCAGTAGCTGTCTATTAACATGTCAGTCGCTGTCCATTAACCTGTCAGTTATTTGCGTGTAAACTACATCGGGCTTGCGATATATTGAATTGTGCGCGTTAGCGCACCATGTTTTATATATCGCAAGCCGGATGAAGTTTACACGCCAATACACGTCAAAAATATGACAACCAATCCTTATATTTATATTCCAAACCAACAACATTAGTTGTGCAATGTTGCGAGTGTTGTTAATTGCTGTTTTAAAACTCTTATACACACCGACTGGGTCAGCGGTAAATTGTTCGGAACAGCCGGTTAGTTTCGCATTCCAGAGTCGTTGTCAAGGGCAACCAAGCCGACAAAAACAATAAACAATTAAGTTCCACAGTAAACACATCAATTTAATAATTGATTTTTTTTTTAATTTAAATGCATATATTTCAATTACCAATTTGTATACTAACATGTGACCATTTTAATATATGTTGTGGTCATTTAGCGATTTAACTGTCATACAATAACATTTTAAGACACAACGGCGGTAATTAGGTCAGAGGACAGCTGGCGGAGGCGGTCATTATTGAAAGTTTTGAGTCGGCTGACACAAGTTTTCACTGTTTAGCGAAGGTAAATGGACATCCATGAAAGGTAGAATTACTAAAGAAACCTGACGTGAATGAAGACGAATTTGACTGATATGCAGAAGATGGAGTAGACAAGTGAGATGCTGTGCTTTCTGTTAAAACTGTGATGGGTATGACTTTGTTTTCCGTTGAAGCTGTGGTACACGTGTTGGTCATGGCCAGAACGATAGAAAGTGGGCCATTTTCGGGGACCGGCTTACGGACAACAATACTTTTTTCGCCAGTTACAAGAGCGGGACAACGAGGACGAAAGCGATTGTTTCTGCTCTGAAGAACACGACCGATTATATGATCGAAGTAGTTCTGGCAAACAAATTATGTATCACTACACTGACCTAATCCCCGTCGTAGTTCATTGGAAAATATGTTACAATGGGACCAGTAGAGTTATCTAGGCACTATGCAGTGCAAATGTAAATATTAAATCATAACTAACTGCTACATGTAATACACAACTACGTGTATAACGTGTGTTTATATTAAAACATAACTGGTCGCGTTAATACACAACTATTATACAGTATGTATTCATTTTACAGCATTGCTGACTGTAACTGTTGAAGATGTAAATGATGTTCCGCCAAAATTTACAAAGGCCGAGTATCAGGGGTCTGTTCCAGAGTCTTCGCCTGTTGACACAATCGTTATCACAGTTACAGCCTCCGACATTGATACCGTAGGAGCGCCTCCGATTTATACATTGTTACACGATACCTACGGGCCGCTAACAATCAAAGACAACTCATCAGGTGAACTTTTATATAGTGTTATATAGTTAAACATCTATGACATATAACTGGTAGCAACATCTTATTATATATCACACTCTGGTAGAAACTTTATCAAGTTGTTAAAAGAGTTCTTAATACATAAGGGATACACACTATCACATAATGAATATAGTCAATCACCGATTATTGAAAATATAGATCCCAAGGACTGCTAACCCAATTACAATAGACGTTAATTCAATCTCAATAAACATTAACCAAGTAACAATAAAAGAGGTGATATATTATGCAATAAGTGATAATAAATATACTATTGTACATTTCTGTTCGAAAATTAGAATTTATAGCGATATCCCTTATGACCTTAAGCAGAGAGTCTGGTCAGTGTAATTATATATATTTAGTACAAAATGTTCTGTATTTTTAAGAAAAAGATTGAATTTTATTTTTGATTGTCCGTTTTATGAATTTAACAAACAAAAATGTAAATTATGCACGTAGTAAGTTCTGGTACGAGGGAATATAATTATTTGGGTTTTTTTGTGAATCAAAGTGTGAGTCAGATTGTGAATTGGCAGCATCGCTTACGTTGCTCTATATTATTTTCAAATATTAAATTGTAAATTGAATTATTTTTTTTACCAGAGAACCACCATAAAAGAAAATAATTATTGAAATTAGTCAATGAAGAATATCTGGTACTTTATGTAAAATTGCATACAGTAAAATGAAACAATGCTATCTTCGTCTTAATCTTTCTCGTCTCCTAAAATCCCATAAAACTGTATTTGTACATCATGATGAATTTTATACACAGGAACAATAACAACAAAGAACAAGCTTGATCGAGAAACCCAGCCGGAACTCAACATAACGGTCGTCGCTTCTGACGGCCTGAACAACTCCACTTGCATCGTGATTGTTAACGTGACAGATGTTAACGATAATGCACCAGTGTTTCTTCCCTATGTCGACCCCGTCTTTATAACAGAGGGANAGAAACCCAGCCGGAAATCAACATAACGGTCGTCGCTTCTGACGGCCTGAACAACTCCACGTGCATCGTAATTGTTCACGTGACAGATGTTAACGATAATGCACCAGTGTTTCTTCCCTATGTCGACACCGTCTTTATAACAGAGGGAAACTATACGAATGACATCCGATTCATTGCCACAGTCAATGCAACCGATGCTGACGAGGGACCTAATGCCATAGTGAGCTACAGACTGGAAAACAACTACTACGACAGCTTCTGGATAAATGATACAACGGTATTTAAACAATAACAAGCGAATGGTCATTTAAAAAAAACAACTATTGCATTGAAATGGTTTTATTTTGATATTCTACACAATGATCCGTTATTTTTTTTATTTTTAACTTAGGTTCTTTGTAAGTCAGCTCATCATGTATACATGAAGTTTACTATTATCAGTTTTGTCGCTTGTATTGTCTATGAATTGTCATAAAGACGATAAAACCGAAATTGAATAAACATTTTAATCATAATGATCTCCTTCTCTTTATGACATCACAATATATACATTGTATCATTTCCCTTTTATAAAAAAACCCGTCATAGCTTGTATATATGTTTAGCTATGTGTAAAATGCCTGAAAATTGACAATGAAAGGGGTAATGTTTTTCATACTTACATGTTTTTGATATTCGTAGGTTTCCAGTTATATGTATGCAAAATATGAACAGAAAATATCTCAACGATATATCGTTGGCATCCTTTGGTTGGCGCGGAAGTATTTCCATTCGGTCCTGTTGTTTACATTCTTTGGTTGACACGGAAGTATCTCCCTCTGGTCCTGTTGTTTACATCCTTTGGTTGGCGCGGAAGTATTTCCCTTCGGTCCGGTTGTTTACATCCTTTGGTTGGCGCGGAAGTATTTCCCTCCGGTCCGGTTGTTTACATCCTTTGGTTGGCGGGGAAGTATTTCCCTCCGGTCCTGTTGTTTACATCCTTTGGTTGACGCGGAAGTATTTCCCTCCGGTCCTGTTGTTTACATCCTTTAGTTGGCGCAGAAGTATTTCCCTTAGGTCCTGTTGTTTACATTTTTCGTCGTGGCTCCTGTATCTGTGTATTATTTAGATGCAGGTGATGTTACTACTCCCGCATACGTCTTTGATGTTGTATCAATCATCACCTGTGTTGATAGTTACCGGTTCCTTGGCTGATGTTTTTTGGTGTTTCCGGTATGAAATCTTTGATAAACATACTCTCCCCATACGTCGAAGGGAAATCTCGTTACCATGTCCTTTTCTTGTCCCATATCCCAAAAGATTTCTTGGTTCCACCGTGGAATATGTAATTCTGCTAATTCTTCATTCCTGGGCTTTTTGTTTTATCAATAGATGCACATATAACAAAATCTTAATTTGGATTTATGGTCACAGCTTTATTGAATAGGCATAGCGGCCGGTCTGCCAATAGACCATAATGGCACGCCATCAATAAATTTCTATTTCAATCAACAATTTAATTGATTGATTCTGAGAACCAGTTCTCAACCAATTAAGCAATATAATTCAAATCAATTAATCAGCTGATCCTGGGAAACAGATTTCAGCTGACTACAAATCAATCAGATGACAATAATGATCAGTTGATACTGGGAAACAGATATCAACTGATTCACATCAATATAAGCAATATAAATCAATCACTATAAAATCAATAAATCAATAATCAATGAATGAACAAGTCCAATGAGTTTATGAAAGCTTGTACCGCGAAATCTGCCATATGAACGAGTTGCTCACAAGAAACTCGTATACCGCCAAGCGAAGACAAAAGAGGAGGCGACACATATCACGGTACAAGGCTGTGACCAAAATCCCAACATGTTGCCATTGTCCTATGTTACTTACTATGCAAGTGTTAATTAGTAGCTGCTTGGGAAGAACCGATTATTTGTTGTTTTAAAACTCTCTAAGGCACCTTGTAAAGTGTTAAGAAATATATCATTTCCCAGTGGTGACAAGTGTACCCCGTCTGCATGAAAAAAATGGTCATCTAATTTCAAATCAGGATAATGTACCACAGCTTGCCCATGTTGTATCATATGTCCAGAGATTGCACTGTTCAATCTCTTCCTTACTTTTTCCAGTGCAGATTGAATTTGGGCCCCCCTCCAAGTCGTTCGTGGCAGAATATGCGACCAGACCATAATGTCCCTGGGAACTCTGCCATCAGAAAATCCAATACATGTTTTAATCTTATTCTAATGTGTCCAACCCCAGTGTTACCTATGTCATTACCCCCACAGTGTATGACAAGAATTGACGGTTGGTCAGTTTCAAATATCCTCAAGTGCCTAATTTTACTTTTTACATCAAAAATGACCATACTTCCTTTGAACTGCCACCACAGTGTTAATCCAATGCGAGACAGTCCAAGGTGCCTAATTGTCATATACCTGCGAAGGTTACCGACGGGACAGTAATGGGAACCATTACTGGGCAGAATGATAGTAGCACCTTTACCATACTGATCATTTTTTGAGGAAGATAGATGTATTGTAGCCACAAGTGAAACTGTTACAACCCTGTAAGCCATGTCCTTACTACTGACAGTGATTTCTCCAACGCGAAAAACCCCATAGAATGCTAATGAATAGGCACAACTAAACAAGACAACCTCATATCGGGAACTGCATATTTTTGGTAGTACAGATATAATGTTAGCTAACAGATCCACCGGGATAGGCAATCTGGCATCACTAACCCCAACACTATCTCTCCTTACTTCCTCTAGTAGCTTTTTGATAATAAACTGTTGGGTAGGGTCACCATGACCTTTTATCTTGCAATTAAAACTCAAACCAGCAAGATAAGTTTTAATTGTGGAGTATGAGTAACCTTTTTGAGACATGTAAGCAATATAATGCATAACTTGTTGTGGTGGAGGGGGCCAGGGTACATCTAGCGAATATTCCTCCTGAAATTGTCGAAAACTTTTCAGAGCCATTGCATAGGACCCACTTGTTTTTTTTTGAAACGGATAATTCAACTAATATGTTGACTTCACCGTCAAGAGTGTTGAGAGGAACCCTTCGGGTATCTTTGCTGGCTCCTGGTTTGCCCAAGGCCGTATTTCTCGAACTCTTGTGAACTGAAAACGAGACAATGAATCAGCAGCTGTGTTACGCACCACAGGTACATGTGTGGCCTTAAATTGAATGCTGTTGTGCATGCAGTGAACTAATAGCGGCCTTACCAAGGACATAACCCGAGGTGACTTGGATGCTTTCTTATTCAAAATTGTAACTAAATTAATATTGTCTATGTAGAAATTGATCTTCTTAGACCTGAACTCTGATAACCAAGTTTGAACTGCCAATATAATAGGTACCGATTCCAGAAAGGTTATATCTCTCATGATAGACTTCTGCTGCCAGTCTCTTGGCCATTTGAATACAATCCAATTACTGCCCCAACATGCACCACAACCCAGCTCCCAGTTTCCTGTACTGTCAGTATATAGTCCCAAATCTACATTACTACTCCAGAAGTTTTCCAAAATATAACACTTGCCATTGAATTTATCTAAAAATTGCAACCACATTTCTAGGTCAGCTCAAATTTCGGTAGATATTCTTACTCTATGGCAGTTATTTTTTTTATGCCCGACATGACGTCAAAAACACGCCGAATAAAAGCTCTAGCTATTGTTATAGCCTTAGCACAAAATGACATTATCCCAGCCAAAGATTGTAGTTCCTGTAATTTCACTTTTTTACCACTACCTAAAACCTTCAAAATCTCTGTCCTTAGAACCACAACTTTCTCCTGCGGGACCCTAATTATCATTTCCATAGTGTCAATTTCAAGACCTAAGAATATCAAAGTTGTGGTTGGACCCTCAGATTTCTCCTCAGCTATAGGTATACCAATCTCTTGACAGGTTTCCTGAAAAATGGACATAAGCCTAGCACATGTATCTGTTTTGTCCTTTCCAGCAAATATGAAGTCATCTAAATAATGATCTAAACTTAGTTCACCAGACTTCTCCTTGACAATCCACTCGATGAAATATGAAAACTTCTCAAATAAACGACACGACACCGAGCAACCCATAGGTAAACATTTGTCCACAAAGTACTTGCCTTGAAACTTAAAACCTAACAACGGAAAGTCAGCTGGATGGATAGAAAGGAGACGAAAAGCAGACTTGATATCCATTTTCCCCAACAAAGCACCTTTGCCTAACTCGGCTATCATCTTGACCACTTTATCAAATGACGAGTATTGCACTGAAACCATATTGGGGTCAATATTACTATTTACACTATTCCCTTATGGCCATGAAATATGTGTTATTTGCCGCCACTTCCCATCCTTTTTGGGAACTATTCCTATGGGGAACTATTCCACTGAGCCATGGGTTTTTCATCAAAAGGACCTGCCACTCTACCTAGTTCTACTTCCTGCATAATTTTCTGAGATGTCTGCACCGAAAATACGGACGCAAATTTCAAATTTGTTGATTCCCTCGGTATCCTTGGGCCAAGATAATGAAGTCTGAAGCCATTCTTACACCCATGCAGAAAATGCCTCCCAACAGACACATTCGGGTACTTAGCAACCCAGTGACTAAGAGCTGGGATTTTTATTTGGGTTTTTCCCATTGTCCATAAACCCTGTTTGGGCCCCCTTTTGCTTATTTTGCGGTTGTGCATGTTTTTGGGTGTATGAATTTGATTTTGAGCGAAAGGAATAGGGATTGTTTGCCTTAAAGCAACTTAAACTGGCATGGGCCCCATTACACTTCATGCATTTATGAGCGTATGTACACTGTGAGCGGGCACAAGTGCCCTTATAATTGAAATCATTGTCTTGGGCAAGGCCTGCCTCGAGCTCTGTGGCTGCATGTATACTAGGTACAATTCATTGTCAATAATGCCCCATGCTTCGTGGGGTTTATGTGACTTTCTAAGCCTATATTGCTCATCATATTTCAACCAGTCTGTACCACCACATCCTTGTGCCCCTAGGCGAACGATCTGCATGTATTTCAGCAGCCAATGCAGTTGCTCAGGATGAACAGATGTGTAGGTACTTATATATATAATAAATGCATCTGTCCATTTACTGATATCAGAAATTTTTGGGGATTGTGTTTTGGGTTTAATTACCAACTCCCCATCAACCAAAGATATTCTGTGGGCATGGTCAGATTCCCCCATGGAGTTAGACAACAAGAGTGCAAGCTCAATATAATCACCATTGGTGATTTTTTGCTTGACGTTAGCTGCTACGTGCAGGCCTAAATTGGCATGCACACTCATTATTGGGATTGGCATCGACATACCCAGTTGAGATACTGACGCTTCCTGTACTGGCTGTTCATTCTGTACATGTACAGGTGGTATCTGTGGATTCCCAGCTGCTAGCTGTTCATTATGTGGCTGTCCCGACCCCGACTCCGGTTGCTCCGGTCGACCGACTGCCCTCTTCCTTTTTTTAGGTCTGTACATGCTCACTGTTTTGTTATTGAAAACAAAAGAGTCATTAATATTGTTGTTTAGCGTATACATTTCTTTGTTGAATAGTTAATATAAACATATCAATTAAAAGTTATTTACCAAGAATCGCATTATGTATCACGTTTCCATAAATAACCTTGCAATGACCTATGTGCATAAGACAACTCGACCCTAAGTAACACATGGGGGCGAGTCAGCCAATTGCCTCGATCTTCACGATCATAAACAGAAACGTTGCGATAAAATATGTGTTACATTTGAATTGAATTTCACATTTTGCTTTGCCAACTATTTCACTTCTAAAAATTTCTGACTATCATCAACGGTCTCATCTGTATATATCGGGTTACCGAAAAAAATAAAATAAAATGGTCGACCACGCCATTTCATGTATGTGCTTACAATCCTTTGCCATCCAATCGTAAAAAATATTCGAAAATTCAGTATTTAGATTGACAACATATCATCATATAACACTGAAACATAATTCATCGAATTATTGAAGAAATAAAGTATTTAAGCTAGTAAATCTTTGATAAACTTAGCCTGATTTCCTCGTATGGCTCTCTTCCAAATTGGTTTTCATTTAACAAGGGAGATAACCCCTTATAACTTCCGCCAAGTAGGCTTCAGGTTACACAACACCAATTAAGCATGCGCCCTCTGATAACGGCACTATATGGTGTATTGCCATAAGTGCTATTATAGTGCAATCTACAGCCATTTGCTTTTTAGCCCTGTTTTCCCCTGATACTTTTGTTTTCCATGATCTGGATCACAGCTTTGAAACTATATACCGCTGTTTGTTTACATATTGTCTTGTCCTCATCTTTTCCCCTGTGATCATCTTTGGGGAGAATTTTCTAGCACAAGCAGTGCAAGCGTTACGGCTGACTCATGGTCAAATCAAACTATTGTAAAGGAAGTGAATCGCATTGCTCAATCAAAAGTGTCACCCGGACCCGGTCTGCAATCAAAATGAAGCAAAGAAATTGCGGGAATCAGTTAATCAGGATTGGATTGAATAAAACTAAAGAATTGTTTTGGAACTTCTTAAAGATTTCCAAAACGATTGATGTTTACAAAGCATGGCTAGGGGAAAACACTCTTACCTAGGACATTCCGCCTTTCAAAGCTGAGATCCAGATCATGGAAAACAAAAGTATCAGGGGAAAACAGAGCTTCAAAGCATCAGACAGTAGATTTCGAAGTCCTATAAAACAAAACCCCAGGAATGAAGATATAGCAGAATTACTAATTTTAATTGTAATGTCAGAATGAGGAGGAAAAAAACCTTTTGGATTATGGGACAAGAAAATAACCTGGTAACGAGATTACCCTTCGACGTATGGGGAGAGTATGCTTATCAAAGATTTCATACCGGAAACACCAAAAAAACATCAGCCAAGGAACCGGTTACATCAACACTAGTGATGATTGATACAACATCAAAGACGTATGCGGAAGTAGTAGCATCAACTGCATCTAAAAAATAGAACCGTACTGTTTACCATGTTTGTATTACAGCAGAACTGACCGAAACCATACTGCTTCCCATGTGTTTGCATTACAGCAGAACTGACCGAAACAATACTGTTTACCACGTGTTTGTATTACAGCAGAACTGACTGAAATCATACTGTGTATTATGTGTTTGTATTACAGCCAAACAAACCGTTACAATAATGTTTACTCTGAAGTTGTACGCTTGTGTTCGTTTTACCCCAAGATCAAAGATAGGGGTTAAATGAATTAGGATGTCTGTCGCTATCTGTTTATGAACTACACGTAGGTAAACAAGTTCATCCCCCTGGGTAAACGTATTTGATAGTTGTGCGCTTGCGATATTTTTCATTATCACTATTACGACGAAATTGTCATTATTTTATTAAAAAGAAAGTTGGAACCACATTAATGTCATTATTTTTCCTTTTTGTAGGGTGATATCTGGGCCGTCGGTGATATAGACCGGGAAACCACGTCACACATTGGTGTGTTCGAGCTAACCATTATTGCTGAAAATTTGCGAAAGGACCCAGAAATCCTTCGGAATAATACAAAATTAACGATAAATGTTTTAGACGTGAACGACAATCATCCCAAATTTTCTAATCCACCTTATAGGGGGAGTGTCAAAGAAACAGAAGTTAAACCTGGTAATCAAATTCTACAGGTGACTGCAGTAGATAGTGATAATGGTACTAACGGTACGGAAGGTATAAAGTACGTACTGGGGGGTATTACAAACGGGACCAGCTATTTCTACATCAACGCCACGACTGGCGATATATACGCTTACAGCTCGATGGTGAACAATGTCGGAACGTTCCTCCTTAACGTGACCGCTAGTGATGGTGGTCAGCCTCCCCTTGAGTCAGGTGTTGAAGTCTACATCAACGTCGAAGACGAAAATAACAACGCACCTGTATTTCACTTTAGACATCCGATTGGTGGGATAGTCATATACAGCATGCTCGAGGTATTTTTGTTACACCGTTTTTAATCTTCAGCCACCTATCATTCGTTAAAAATGTTACATGAATAATCTACAAGCTTTTTGTAGAACCATAATAACATTAATTACCATCCTACCCTTTTGAATATCGTGTCACCAGTTCTTCACTTGAAGATTTCGTGATGTAACTGTCACTCTGACGTTCATCCTAGTCATTTAGCTGGTTTGAGGTTTGCCATCACCCATCCACCACCACTACCTAGGTGATCTTTACGGCTGAAACCTTACTGTATATAAAGGAGTCAATCCTATAATGGTAATGTATAAAGTTCTCGGTTGGATGAGTTGGAAATATAAGACTCTGAATGTAAAAGGGGATAAGGTCACAATTGTTATGTTTCAGTTTGATAATTAAACTAAACACTTTTATAAATTAAAACCAGCTATCTTATGAACAAACTAGTCAACAAATGTTGTATCTGTGATGTCATAATGATCACAATTAAATTCATCACGTTTTTTCGTAAAAAAGCGTAATTTCCATTGAAATAAGAAAAGAACAAATTAAAACATACCAGCCTCAAGGTACACAATATAGGCGAAAATCTGGCTATCCAGAACTGTCTACATATAGGTTTACATTGTATAATACTAATCCTACACACAACTCTATCCTATATCATTGGAAAGCGTATATAGTTTTTAGACATATGTTTATGATGTCATAATTATATCCTATGTCGAAATAACTTTGACGTCACTGCGCCGAATGTTGAAGTTACCTACAAGTATCCCCGACCATCAATCTATATAGTGAGGTTACACATATATTGTAGTAAATGGTACAGTATTGACCATCAATAGATATA